GTGCATGCTCTGGTTCAGTGTCTGTGCATGCTCTGGTTCAGGGTCTGTGCAGGCTCTGGTTCAGGGTCTGTGCATGCTCTGGTTCAGGGTCTGTGCATGCTCTGGTTCAGTGTCTGTGCATGCTCTGGTTCAGTGTCTGTGCAGGCTCTGGTTCAGGGTCTGTGCATGCTCTGGTTCAGGGTCTGTGCATGCTCTGGTTCAGTGTCTGTGCATGCTCTGGTTCAGGGTCTGTGCATGCTCTGGTTCAGTGTCTGCGCATGCTCTGGTTCAGGGTCTGTGCATGCTCTGGTTCAGGGTCTGTGCAGGCTCTGGTTCAGGGTTTGTGCATGCTCTGGTTCAGGGTCTGTGCGTGTCTGGTTCAGTGTCTGTGCATGCTCTGGTTCAGGGTCTGTGCGTGTCTGGTTCAGGGTCTGTGCATGCTCTGGTTCAGTGTCTGCGCATGCTCTGGTTCAGGGTCTGTGCATGCTCTGGTTCAGGGTCTGTGCATGCTCTGGTTCAGTGTCTGTGCATGCTCTGGTTCAGGGTCTGTGCAGGCTCTGAACCAGAGCATGCACAGACCCTGAACCAGAGCATGCACAGACCCTGAACCAGAGCCTGCACAGACCCTGAACCAGAGCATGCACAGACACTGAACCAGAGCATGCACAGACCCTGAACCAGAGCATGCACAGACCCTGAACCAGAGCCTGCACAGACCCTGAACCAGAGCATGCACAGACACTGAACCAGAGCATGCACAGACCCTGAACCAGAGCATGCACAGACCCTGAACCAGAGCATGCGCAGACACTGAACCAGAGCATGCACAGACCCTGAACCAGACACGCACAGACCCTGAACCAGAGCATGCACAGACACTGAACCAGACACGCACAGACCCTGAACCAGAGCATGCACAGACCCTGAACCAGAGCCTGCACAGACCCTGAACCAGAGCATGCACAGACCCTGAACCAGAGCATGCGCAGACACTGAACCAGAGCATGCACAGACCCTGAACCAGAGCATGCACAGACACTGAACCAGAGCATGCACAGACCCTGAACCAGAGCATGCACAGACCCTGAACCAGAGCCTGCACAGACCCTGAACCAGAGCATGCACAGACACTGAACCAGAGCATGCACAGACACTGAACCAGAGCATGCACAGACCCTGAACCAGAGCCTGCACAGACCCTGAACCAGAGCATGCACAGACTCTGAACCAGAGCATGCACAGACACTGAACCAGACACACACAGACACTGAACCAGACACGCACAGACCCTGAACCAGACACGCACAGACCCTGAACCAGAGCATGCACAGACACTGAACCAGACACGCACAGACCTTGAACCAGACACGCACAGACCCTGAACCAGAGCATGCACAGACACTGAACCAGACACGCACAGACCCTGAACCAGAGCATGCACAGACCCTGAACCAGAGCATGCACAGACCCTGAACCAGAGCATGCACAGACCCTGAACCAGAGCCTGCACAGACCCTGAACCAGAGCATGCACAGACCCTGAACCAGAGCATGCACAGACACTGAACCAGACACGCACAGACACTGAACCAGACACGCACAGACCCTGAACCAGACACGCACAGACCCTGAACCAGAGCATGCACAGACACTGAACCAGACACGCACAGACCCTGAACCAGACACGCACAGACCCTGAACCAGAGCATGCACAGACACTGAACCAGACACGCACAGACCCTGAACCAGAGCATGCACAGACCCTGAACCAGAGCATGCACAGACCCTGAACCAGAGCATGCACAGACCCTGAACCAGAGCCTGCACAGACCCTGAACCAGAGCATGCACAGACCCTGAACCAGAGCATGCGCAGACACTGAACCAGAGCATGCACAGACCCTGAACCAGAGCATGCACAGACACTGAACCAGAGCATGCACAGACCCTGAACCAGAGCATGCACAGACCCTGAACCAGAGCATGCGCAGACACTGAACCAGAGCATGCGCAGACACTGAACCAGAGCATGCACAGACCATGAACCAGAGCATGCACAGACACTGAACCAGAGCATGCACAGACCCTGAACCAGAGCATGCACAGACCCTGAACCAGAGCATGCACAGACCCTGAACCAGAGCATGCACAGACCCTGAACCAGAGCATGCACAGACCCTGAACCAGAGCATGCACAGACCCTGAACCAGAGCATGCACAGACCCTGAACCAGAGCCTGCACAGACCCTGAACCAGAGCATGCACAGACACTGAACCAGAGCATGCACAGACCCTGAACCAGAGCATGCACAGACCCTGAACCAGAGCCTGCACAGACCCTGAACCAGAGCATGCGCAGACACTGAACCAGAGCATGCACAGACCCTGAACCAGACACGCACAGACCCTGAACCAGAGCATGCACAGACACTGAACCAGACACGCACAGACCCTGAACCAGAGCATGCACAGACCCTGAACCAGAGCATGCACAGACACTGAACCAGAGCATGCACAGACCCTGAACCAGAGCATGCGCAGACACTGAACCAGAGCATGCACAGACCCTGAACCAGAGCATGCACAGACACTGAACCAGAGCATGCACAGACCCTGAACCAGAGCATGCACAGACCCTGAACCAGAGCCTGCACAGACCCTGAACCAGAGCATGCACAGACACTGAACCAGAGCATGCACAGACACTGAACCAGAGCATGCACAGACCCTGAACCAGAGCCTGCACAGACCCTGAACCAGAGCATGCACAGACACTGAACCAGAGCATGCACAGCATGGCCAGCAATCAAGGACATCTGAGAGTTGTAATTTTTGTACTCCTCCGAGGTGTGATTTTTGGCGTGCTGGGCCAAGCACAAGGAAGCCATCTGCAAAAAAACTGCAGAAAATGGTTGTTGTTTGATCCTTTGGTGTAATCTTTGTTTCTAGTCGAAGCTAGTTGCTGTTTGGAGCAGAAACGCTGAAATTGACTATTTTCTGCATGTACTCATACATGTACTCATGTACTCAGGCATGCAGTCTCACTCGTATTTTAGCTATTTTTCTGGAATGAATGCTGCTCTGCGCCCCTTGGTGAACATTTCCTGCGCTCGTGGAGCAGCTGAAAAGGACCACTGGTATGTCTGGTTCCTGGTTTGAAAGTGGAGAGTCGACTTTTGTGCCTTGAAAAAGGAGTAGAGAGCGATAAAGGTACGTCTGTGGCTGATTTTTGAGTGCTCCTCGTACATTTTTGATCGTGATAGAAATTCTCAGACCAAAGTCAGACCAAAGTCAGCGCGATGATGGTCGTACAGTTTTCTTGTGAATTTTTTAGTTGTTTCATCTCGTATCTATGTCAGTATCGTGATGGTGAAGTGGAGAGGGTGATTTTCTTCCTCTAGGCTTCGTTCGGCCGACTTTGCTTCGTCCTCGTTGAAAAGTGATCCTGAAAAAAAGGTCGATTCGCAAAATTATGTTGATTTTCAATGTACGAGATGACATGCGATTGCTGGCTATGACACTGAACCAGACACGCACAGACACTGAACCAGACACGCACAGACCCTGAACCAGACACGCACAGACCCTGAACCAGAGCATGCACAGACACTGAACCAGACACGCACAGACCCTGAACCAGACACGCACAGACCCTGAACCAGAGCATGCACAGACACTGAACCAGACACGCACAGACCCTGAACCAGAGCATGCACAGACCCTGAACCAGAGCATGCACAGACCCTGAACCAGAGCATGCACAGACCCTGAACCAGAGCCTGCACAGACCCTGAACCAGAGCATGCACAGACCCTGAACCAGAGCATGCACAGACACTGAACCAGACACGCACAGACACTGAACCAGACACGCACAGACCCTGAACCAGACACGCACAGACCCTGAACCAGAGCATGCACAGACACTGAACGAGACACGCACAGACCCTGAACCAGACACGCACAGACCCTGAACCAGAGCATGCACAGACACTGAACCAGACACGCACAGACCCTGAACCAGAGCATGCACAGACCCTGAACCAGAGCATGCACAGACCCTGAACCAGAGCATGCACAGACCCTGAACCAGAGCCTGCACAGACCCTGAACCAGAGCATGCACAGACCCTGAACCAGAGCATGTGCAGACACTGAACCAGAGCATGCACAGACCCTGAACCAGAGCATGCACAGACCCTGAACCAGAGCCTGCACAGACCCTGAACCAGAGCATGCACAGACCCTGAACCAGAGCATGCGCAGACACTGAACCACAGCATGCACAGACCATGAACCAGAGCATGCACAGACACTGAACCAGAGCATGCACAGACCCTGAACCAGAGCATGCACAGACACTGAACCAGAGCATGCATAGACCCTGCACAGACCCTGGTTCATGGTCTCCTTTCCCTGCTACTCTACTGATCGGCTGTGCGTGTTGTGCTTGCTTGCATGCATGGACAACTGAGGACACAACAAGAGGCGACAAAGATGGGATACCGTAGTTCCCCGTAAGTTAGTACGTACTAACTTTCGAACTTAGCAGCCACATGAGTACTAACTTTCGGGCGTGGTACTATCTTTCGGGGAGTACTTTTTTATCGGGGGTAAATGACACACAGTTAGGCGCTGCATCTGCCACCCTGGTAGCACAGGCATGGTGGTGGCCTGGCACATGCGAAACTTCCTAAGCTGGTTGTGTTTCTCAATACAATTGTATAGCCGGTGGTAACGCGGACGTGCAAACTTTACTTTTTAAATGACACGCAGTGGGAAGCCTGCGCAACTCTAGTGTCCGTGCATATGATGTATGTATTGTACGGTGTCTGTACATGTAGGACGGGTACGAACTTACTATCTTTCGGGTGGGGGGGGGGGGGGGGAACTGTCTTTCGGGGTGATAATCTCGGCAGTGGAAAGTGTATTTTTTATAGGGGGTACTAAGTCATTGGGGAGAACTAACTTACGGGGAAATACGGTATCTTCTCCCATAGAAATTGGCAGTGCTTTAAAACTTACTTTGTCCACATGGTTTTCATTCTGAACTCGAGCCTTTCTTTCCAGAACACGTCATGAGTGACGTAGTCAAAACCACGCTGAATGTCGTGTTGAACATTGCTCCTGGGACGTGCCAGGCACGCAGTATCATACCGATCGCCGCACTTCTGCAGTACGTGGAAGTGAGAGCCACTCTTGCAGACCTCCTTGCACGTCAGGCCCTCGTGCTCCACAGGGCCACTGCCCGGCGAGAAGGCTACTGGTACGCCGGTGCTGCTGCGTATCTTGCCGTGCAGCACGTAGTGGCCGGGGTCGTGACCGCTTCGACGCACACATCGCTGACTGCAGAGCGGACAGCGTGTCTGGCAGTTCAGCTCCGTGCACTCCTGACACAGGTGCGGGCCCGCATGACTCCTGATCAGCGAACAGGACTTGGACCGTGTATGGTGTTCGCCAACACAGCTCTCTTCGCAAACGATATCACAGTCGGGATAGTTGTGGCCATCCTTGATACGCGGCCCTGTCGAGTCCAAGCACTGGCGATGCAAGACTTCAATGGAGCAGTACGTTTTGTGTCCATCATGGCACAGCTCCCCACACAATGCGTACTCTTCGTTGAGAGTGCTGGTGGGCTGCTCGAACTGGTAGACTTTCTCCCAGAGATACTTGTGCGTGCACAGATGTCGATTGCCTTTGTGAAGCTGTGTGCAGTCTTCATGGAAGAGCTCTCCGGTGCAGTGTGCATGCCGGGCGGCGGCGCTGCAGGGCAGGGCGTGTACGTGACCTCGACCGGCAGTCTCACAGATATCCGCACACGTCAGCACAGCCGGTCTGCTATCCATGTCATCGCCGTCGACGTAGTCGTAGTCGTTGTGCTTCACCCACTCGCCCTTGTTGGCGGTGAAGCTCTGCAGGTTCTTCCTGGCGTCCATGACCAATTTGCCGTGCCGTGCTCGGTGTAGCACTCCATCACTGTGCTTGCCTAGATGACACTGAGCGCCACAGAACGGGCACGCTGTACTGCAGTCGTGGCCTTTGCTGCAAACATGCTGCTGTTGGTCAGCAATGAGTACATGGCCGTGAGGAAGGCTACACTTGACCCCGCATGATGTAGCATGGCACGTGCCACTGCAGACGTTAGCATCGCAGAGATGCTTGTGATCGTGAGCATCAGCTAACGTTGAAATGTCCAGGATTCTGGCGCAAGTGCTGCTGATACTGCAGAGCTCACCTGAGGACCCGTTTTTCTCTTGGACAGCGCAGGGTTTGCTGCACCGGTGCTTGGTCTCCTTGCAGACACAGGGACCCTCATGGCCCTCCTGCAATCCGCAGGTTTCCAAGCAGTTTCCAGAGAGGTCTTTGAGCGGGCACTGTCCCTGGCAGGGGTGGTCACAGGAAAATGTGTGGCTGGGGTTCAATGGCTCGCTACCATCCGCTATAGGTGCCAGAGGAACAGAGTGAAGCTGCTTGCCTTCACAGAACATTTCTGTTTCACCATGGGACGCGTGTTGGCACTTGACATGGCAATGGTCAAATTCCGCAGTCTCATCTTCGGAGTATGGGTCCACAAAACCAATAGCGTTCCAGAACTGGCTGTGGGTGACTCGCTCGGTGAAGGTAACGTCGAGGCTCTCTTTATCCACTCTGACTTTGCAGTGGTGGTGCTGTCGTTTTAGAGAGGAGCACACAGTGCTGCAGGTGGTCACTGATGGTGGGTTGTCGGATGTTTGCTGAGATTTTGGTGACACCATGGAATTATCCTCTGTGTCCACAACTCTCCAAGGAGAAAGGCCATGCTGCTGAATCCCTGCTGGCCGAAGAGACAGGTATTTTCCATGTGTTGTGCTGTGCAATTCATCGTCAGCATGAACCGGCTTATCGCAGCACTCTCCGCACGTTGGACAAAAGGCGTTGCAGGTATGTTGCAATTGGGAAGCATCATCATGATGTGCATGTTCTGCACCGTGTTTGGCTTGGCCAGCTGGAATTATGCGTTTGCAGGGCAGCCTCAATGCTGGCAATGTTCCATCCTTCACCAAAGCTATTTTCTGGTCAAAATTCAGCTCACTGAAACAGGGCAGGGTGCAGTTTCCTTCGCCAGTGTTGCACTTGATATCTTTGTTACCAGTACGCTTCGATTCAGAGCAGATATGAGTTGCACCACAGTCATGAACAGTGGATCCAGTAGGATGGTGGAAATGATCTTCAGCTGCACAGTCAGCATCGCAGTGATCGCATTTAGCAGTGCACTTTGCAATGCCACAATGGCATTTCTCTTTCTTATCATGACCCATTTTCAAATCACATTTGCGACTGCAGTCAGTTCCCCTGCAGTCTTGGTTACATTTGTGCTCCTTCTCGCAATCGTGGGCTTTTGAATGCTTGAGTGGCCTCATGCACTGTTCCGCACATGGACCGTATTGATTGGCCTGTCCACAAGGATCCCTGCATAGATGATTGTCGCATGGAAAGTGATGACCATTGTCAGCAAAGCCAGGCATCTCAGGTATGCCAGATTGTGTAACTGTCTTATGATACAGAAGCTGTGTGCAGTACACTTTATCTTCATCGTGCTCTTGATCTCTTGGGCAGCGTGCGGTACACTTGTCAAAACCATTTGCTTGGTCTACACTGGGGTCAGCAAAGCCGTACACATCCCAGAATAGGGCATGGGTCACTTTGTACTTCTTATCTGCCTCCTTCTTGTAACTTCCTTTGATGTTGAATTTTTTATAATGCGCTGCTACCAGGTCGTGGTCTGGAACATGACTGTGTGAGCGACTTTCTTCAAGGCTACCACAGACAGTATGGCAGGTTGTATCATCTGGCAGTTGTGAAGGAGTAGAGCCATTTCCATCCCGGAGACTAGCCCGAGCACTGGACAGCACAGCACCGTGCTGTGCTACTAGATGCTGATCATGCGTTGTAGATCCCGGTGTTTCACAGTGGAAGCCACACAATGGACATGTTTTGTCACATCCATGCTCCTGCTGACAGCTGTGTTTCACACCAGTATGTGTGGTTTGTCCAGGTGGCACTGGTATGTTGCAGAAAAGCTTGAATGCATTGCCAGCAATCTTCGAAGCATTGGAATTATCACTGATGAAGCTTTCTTTCTCTATTTCTGGGACAACTTTGCATGGTCCAGGCTTGTTGCATGCTACCTTGCACTTGTGGCTATTCCGGCAGTAGTGTTGCAGAGGGCTGGAGTGCGAGACTTTATGACTGTCATCCATTGAGCACGGCTGTTTGCAGTTGGCATATTGGCATTGCATGTGACAGGTGTGTGCTGATTTGCACTTGCAGGGCTGCGCACTCTTGTCGTGGCCTTCAAGCAGCGCACAGTTCCCTTTACACTGCTCTCCGGCGGAGTAGGATGTACATGGCTGGCCGCATGCATGCTCCGCACACTCGAACCGATGTCCCTGCATCTCACCGTGCCGCCGTTCTCCTACAAAGCCCTCGTCTACCTCATCTTCTGCACCGTACGGTTTATGATGAATATCTCCAACACACTGGCGACGCTCTGAGTCGTGACCAGGCAGCTCGCAGAGAACAGGGCAAGCGTTGAACACAGTGGAATCCTCTTTCGGATGCGGGTCTTTGAACTTAGCTTGCTTCCAAAAGCTGCAGTGTGAGACCTGTTGCAGCATGCTACTATCGTCAGTGTCGACCGATGACCCTGTGTTGAGGTTGCTCAGGCGGTGATGCGTGTGCGACGGGCCTGCGTGCTGGCACATTGTCACACACGTTATCGGCGTGTCCGGATACGACGCCTGCTTCTTGTCCAGCTGCAGTATGCGAAGTTCGCCAAGAGTCCCCTTGGGTATTTCACCGTGATCCGTGGAGCAATCCCCGTCGTGAGGTAGCAGCTCAGTGCAAGAGAAGTTGCACATTGGGCAGAACTTGTCACAGTAGTGTGAGCGACCACAGTTGTGACCCTCCGAGTGACGGAGTTTGCCAGCAGGAATGGGTATGCTGCAGGAAGCAAGTTTGAAGCCGTTCGGACGGTCAGTTTTGATTCTCCCCTCTGGCAGACTCTCGCCTGGTTTCAGTGGCTTCGCCACTATGCACATGCCCGGTCCCTTGCATTGGCCACTGCACCCATGCTCGCGTCCGCAGCGATGAAGTGGATACAGGGATGACTGAGATCCTCTAACAACAGGCTTGGTATGGTTAACGGCATATTGGCAGAAGTCATCGCCATCACCATCGCTCAATGTGCAAGGATGGGGACAACTGTCGAAGACCTTGCGGTTCTCTGCGCTGGCAGGATCTTCAAAGCCGGAGGTTTTCCAGAAATCACCGTGGGTCTGGGTTGAGGAGCTGATCATTCCTGACAAAACGTGAAAGTGACCGCGGGCACCCTTTTCGCAAAGCTGCGTGCACGTAACGGACCGAGCGCCGAAGTTCTTCTCCAGTTGCTTCATACCGTTGCCACCGTCCTCTTGGCGCTGCCAAATCTTGAGTATTGCCTGGGAAACGATTGGTCCATGTTCGCTGATTCGGTGATCACTTCCATCCTTTGTCTTGTGGCCGAGAGGTAGTTCACAGTGATAATTACAGAACGGACATTGCTCCTCGCAGGTGTGGACTGGCGCCTGGCACGAGTGCTTGGCTGATCCATGACCTTTAGGTCCGTCCTCCCAGGGGTGCCGGCATCTCAGTCGAAACGCTGTGATGCTCGCCTTCCTGCTGCTAAACATGGTGGATGGAACGTAGTAGGGCTTGCTGCCGGCTGGATCGGGACCTGCTAACGTTGTAACATGACACACCCCTTGTTCTGTGCAGTACTCCGTACAGTCGTGCGGCTTGTCACAGTAGTGAGCGTCTTCGTTGTCCGGTATATGCTTGTGCTTCGGGTTCTTGCAATCCCCTTGGCAACCATTGTAAGAACAATGCCCGCTGCAGTCCTCCTTTTCGCATAGATGACGAGCATGGCCAGATTGAAAGGCATCCTTTGTACAGATGCCCCCGCGGCATCCATCGGCCTGACACTTCTTGTCGCACTGATGGCTGGGCTTTTTGCACTGGCATTTGAGGTTTCCATGCTGGTGGCGGAGGTGCTGACACTGGATATCCGTTGTGTCGGCTTCTTGCCGGCATTTTGCATTGGAGCACAGCCCCTGGCATGCGTGGTCAGTGGTGCAGGAGAACCAATGCCCCTCCAGACTGCGGCCGTATTCGTCTTTGCCAAAGCATTTGAGCCCAGGGTACAATCGAAATTGTTTGTCCTGCGTCGTCGACTTCCATTTGCGACCATGGAACCTTGGAGCCACGCAGTAGATGTCCTGTCCAGCCTGGTGGTCATCACCATTGCATTGCACTGGGCACCTGTCCAGGTCCGTCAGCACGTCTCCACAAGGATCGGCGAATCCACGTTCGTTTCCAAGTTCTTTCCAGAACGCGGAGTGGACCTTGCACTTCTTGCCGTCACACACGTGTGCAGAGTCTGCTGTCGTGCAGTGCGTGTGGCCGGGACCAGCTTCGCGGCACAGCGCATCGCAAGTGCGTTGGCCAGTTTCTTCTACTTTGCCCGTCCGTCCGCTGCGTACGACGTGGAATTCGCTTATGAACGGGCCATGTTCATCGAGACTGTGGCGACCGGCATGGCCATATTTTAAGGAGCAGTATTGGCGGCAGCCAGGACATTGTTTGTCGCACGTGTGTTTTTCCTGCTTGCAACGATGAACGCTCTCAGTGTGGTGGCTCTCACCGATTGGCCATTTGATCCCACATTTCAAACGGTAGCCGTTTCCATCGCTGCTCACGCGTTCCATGGTGCCAGGATCGAACAGCTTCTTTTCCGAGCCGTGTGGCGAGACCCTCACACAAATCCCCTTGCTCTCGCAAGGCCGCGAGCAGGGATGTTCGTCACCGCAATGGTGTACGACTGCGGTGCCGTTGATCACCTCGTGCAAGTGGTCGTGCGATGTGCCCTGATGATGGCAATCTTTCTCGCAGTCGCCGATCTTACATGTTATCATGCACTGCGTACTGTCACAGCAATGCTCACGGTCGCTGACCTGGTGGCCGTTCTCTTCCAGCTGGCTACTGCACCGTTGCTCACATTGGCCTGCGTTCGTGATAGCCGAGCACCGCCCACCGCAGACATGCTCCTCACCACACGAGCACATACCGGTATGTCCAGCTGGCTTTGCACAGCGGGAGCGGTTAGATCCGCTCATGCAGCTCTCGCCTTTCTGTTTGAATCCGCACCGTCCCGCGCACTGGTGATCGGTGCACGGGAAACGATGCCCAATGAACTGTTCGCGTTCGCTGTCTGGCGAGGCGAGTTCCTCTTGGCCGTCAATCTCTCGCAGCACGGCCTTGCCCACGTAGCCATTGTTGTCGGGCTCACTGTAGTCAGGGTAATCGGCGTGCCATTTTGACCCATTGCAGGGAACCGGTGGCGCGTGTTGGTCAGGACACCGCATCGGACAGCTAGCAAACTCACGCTGCTCTTGACTGGCATACGGGTCCTCAATCTTGTAATGCTTCCAGTACGTAGCATGAGTGATGACGTAATACTGCGAACGTTCAAAGTTCTTCTGCGGTAGATCGCGGCCGAAGAATGCTTTGCAGCCGTCATCGGAGGTGGTCAGTGCCAGTCGAAATGGCTCGTCTCGGTTTGTTTTCCGTACGACATGCTCGTGGCCTCGTCCAGCTTTAAGGCAGAGCTCATCGCAGCGCAGTGCACGGCCACTATCAGAGCCAGAATAGTCCTGGGTCCAGCCATCACGAACATTGCCTACAGGTTCCCAGATTTCACCATGTCGTATTTCGCACACACCTTCATGGCGAAAATGACGATGGCAGAGGCGTTTGCAAAGAGGGCACGCGTGTTTGCAAGTGTGAACTTCGGTTGAGCAGGCGTGTTTGATTCCGTTTTCCGCCACGCCATCATGCCCCCGCTGCAGTGGTTCCAGCTTGGTGCTGCAGAACTTCCTGTAACCATTCTTCCCGATGCATGCATAGCTGACGATGTCCGGATCGCTACGCTTGGCAGACGCAATTTTGTCATCATCTTCTGGATTTTCAATGCAGAAGCAAATTCCTTCTACTTGGCATATCTCTGCACACGAGTGTCCTGATTGGCATTGATGCTCCCGATGTGAATAATTCGTTTCCAGGTCTTCCTTGCAGTACTGCGGACAAGTGCGGTCGGGTGCGTCTCTCTCCTGGCGTCTGACTGGAATGCTGCAGGTACTCGCGCACTTGTGACCTTCCTCAGAGCATCTGCAATCTGGTTTATTCCCGCCGTCGGCCATGTTGTGCAGAGCTAGCTCTTTGCAGCGGTCATCCTTGCGTTCGGGACCTGGTTGGTGGACGCGTGCCTCCTTGAACTTGCATTTGCCTTCGCAGCGATGGTGCGTCAGCATGTCTTCAGTTGACCGGCACTGGCATCTGCCTTCGTGGCCGGTTCCGAGAATGCACCTCTCCTTCTTCTGTATGCTGGCGTTGTGAATGCACCAGTGGCAGTCGCGTCCGCAATAGTGTTGATCTTTCTCGCCGGTCGCACTGTGCAGGCAGCTGCACACCTCGTACTCGCTGTGCCCTTTGGGCCGCAGGCACCTGAAATAGCACGGCCGATGCGAGCAGCGCCCACCGCAAAGCTCCCAGTAGCCACGGAAGAACTTGAAGCACTTTTCCATCTCCATCAACAGGTCCTTCTTGCCTTGCAGGTTGTCGACGTGCACCTTGGCTCGGTTTTTCACCGCAGCCACACGCCGCTCTAGCAGTTGCTTCACCGCTGTTTTCATTGCTTGGAAGAAGCGCTCGGGATCCGCTGCCCTCCAGTCTCCTGCGCGCGAATCATCTCGTCGTTGCAAAGACTTCAGGGAGGTTGCCACGTCGGAGCGTAGGCGACAAAGCATCGTCTTCCCCTCCTTGGTGAGTATCGCGGTCACTTTCGCCAGGGAGTGACTAATTTTCTCGTCCTTGATGTCAACCTCGGGCAGGTCTAGTCGCAGACGGGCGTCAGCGGACCAGTTGTACTGGTGAGGTTGGGACGGCTCCAGCGGTTCATCTTTGTGCAGGATCACCAGTTTCTTGTCAGCGCTTGCGGCGATGTCTTCCTTGTTCCACTGGCCATTCTTCAAAGCATTCAGCAAGAAGTTGTAGAACTGCATGGCCTCCCGATGATAGATGAGCAGCAGCTTCAGGGATTCGAATTTACCGAGGCCGGCGCCCGCGCCAAGAACGAGGCAGAGGGAGTCGTGGAACTCGGCGGAGTCGAACAGCTGCCCGGCGTTCTTGAGCTCCGCAGCTATGCTCACACTTGCATAGTGCTCCGCGCTAACCAACACACCGTCACCGGCTCCCTTCAGCTCAGCACTGTCACCACAGCAACAGCAACAGGGCAGCTCGTCGTAGTCGTCGAAGAACGTCAGCAGCGTATCGATATCGCCTACGTCAGTGAGATACTGCTGCACTTCGTTCGCTCGGCCACGGCCATTGGTCGTGCGCTGGGTGGCCGAGTGTGTCGGTATAACTATCAGCTTGCCCGTGAAAAGCTTCTCATCAACCAGATTGCGATTTATCCCGCCGTCTTTGATCAACGCTGACACATACGATCTCAGGCGTTGCATAGCGTGGACCAGCCGTTGCAGCGCCTGGCGAGGGTTGCTGGAGCAGACTGCAAACACATTGCTCACAGCTATAGCCGGCAGCAGCAGAGCCACCTCAGCCTCAGTGAACGGGTCCTCGCCGAGAAGGTCCAAGCCGTGCGGGACAAAGAAGTTGTACTGTCGCAGTCCAATCTGCCGTATTGAGAGCAGCAACCTGGCGTGGCGCAGGTCCTGTGGCTCACCCGCAAGGTCGTCGGTGCCACGGTCCACTTGAACCCTGGTATCAAGCGGCACAGTCGTACAGATCATTCCCCCATTGCACTTGTTGGCGATGGTCATTGCGCTACCTTCGGTGTCGCAGATAACCGTGGCCGAGTACGTGATGTGCTTCGTCGCTTTCAGCTCATCTGCCAATGGACTGGCCTTGATCAAGTCCTGGATTGATTCGGAAAATTCTCTTGTGCTCCCCTCCTTCGTCAAATCGGCTTCATGTAGTACGGTTGATGTCGCAAAGCACTGCCGATATACCGCCGATGAAGATGAGTGGTCTCCTGGATCATCTGCGGCAGCACCGCCATCTCCTGGCCCGTGCTCAATCTCGCTGCCGATCGGCTCGTTTTCCGCCACAACTGCCGCAGATTGCAGCAATGCTCCATCCGTATATATCGTAGGCTGCTGTTGCTGCTGCTCATAATGATGGTCCTGTTGAGCCTGCTGCTGCTGTTGTTGCTGCTGCTGTTGCTGCTGTTGCTGCTGTTGCCGAATGGTGTCCAAGTGTTGAGGAGGCATAACCACCGACATGACCGGTATACACGGACCCAGTGCCATGTTGGTGAAAAGTTGATCAAACTGAACCTTCGGCTGCCGTAGCGTACGTTCCAAATTGATATTTTCCAAAGGTCGTACGGTGATATCATCATCCAGTAACGGTGCTCGCGACCTGTCGCCGATGTCCATGTAGCCTGTGTAGTATTCGCGTGCGGTCAGATCAAACGACTTACGAATGGCCTCGCGCCAGGTGTCGACGCACTCTGGGTTGAACGGCATCTGGCGGTACGGTTGAGTGATGGCCACGGCCAGATGCCTGGTGCTCAGGTTCAGTGCACATTTGCTGCCGTACATTCCGTACATCGTCGTCAGGATCTTCATCGGGTTGCGCGATAAGTCAGACTGAGGAGCGGATAATGTAGTGTGTGCACCACCACCATCCTGCATGCGCGCTGCTCGCTTGCGCTGCAGAAACAGGCTCCTGGCAGCACTGTTCGACGCTGGCCTAGGCATGGCATTCCCACCCAGCATCAGATCCTCGTCACTGATGGCCAGTAGGATAGAATCTGATGCCTCCATTGCCATCTTGACGAGCTGACAGGCGCTGACAACTGGCTCATTTCTGTGAATGTCCAGCGTCAAGTAGGCCTTCTCGCCGTCCGGGTTGACCAAACACGACACGCTGGAGCTGTAGTCGGCGCACTCCAGCCGCAGCTCGGCCAGACTCTCCGCGTCCACCACCTCATGATTGCCTAGGATACGCTCCACGCACTCCCTGTCACCGGCCAGCGCCAGCAGCTTGAGTTTCGTGCACCTCATGGTCGTCGCATTCGTCTCGACGCCGTCATCCGCATCCGCTTCGACCCCTTCCAGTGCAACCTGTTGCTGAGTTGTTTCCGTGCAGCTGTCCAGAGCGATTCTCAGCTGCATGATGGCGTCTTTGTCGACCTTGATCGGCTGCACTTCCTGAACTAGGCAGGACTTGTCGGACTTGTCGAAGATTCGCAGCGTGATCGGATGCTCTTTGCTCTTCAGCGCCGTCGAGTGCCAGATGGTCAGTGCCAGCTTCTTCTTCTGGTTGGCTGCAAACACCAGGGGCACAGAAACAACATACATCAATACGTTGATGCCGGCGCGAAGAACATCCGGCTTGCACAAGGAAATTTCCTCAAGACAAAACAAACCCACATCGGATTCATCGGATTGGTTGCACCAACATGCCATTCGTCAACACTATCAAGTCTAGCCACTAAGTTCGACAGTACTTGCCCCTCAAAACGGCTATAATAAGGGTTCATGCACGTTTTGACCCAATGTCTAAATTACCCCTCCGGTGTATAACTTAGCAGCGATGTTGAACCAGGATCGCTCTAGGATACTGTAATTTTGCAGTTGTGCAACACACCTCTGAGTTTATGATGCATTCTCTTTGTTGACCACCATTCTGGCCACGCAAGGTGTAGTCAGAGAATTTTGCGCAGCTTGGGTTCAAAAAAGCTATGTGAGCCGCGCCAAGCTAAAAAGTGGCTTAGCGTTTTGCCAACAAATCGAGAAAATCACCAAAATGTCACAGTCGGCAAAATTCTACTCGAGCGCAGTAGCGAAAATATTCACTTTCGAGCACCCTTTCAAGTGAATAGTTTGCAAGCAGAGAAGAAGAAAGAGGCCTTTTTTTCTTTTTGAGCAATACTTCTTCAGTTTTCCCTCTTTCATCGTTGTGGGGATTTCTCGGCGCTGCCAGAGATCGTAATGGAGCGTTCTGGAGAATGTGGGGGTGAGCAGGATGACACTCTGTCTCCGTGTGCGCCCAACCCTATTTGACGAGGAAGATTCGCTCATACATAGTGGCCGTGTTTCTCATCGTGGCCACGACTAGAGCGGCTAGTATAGCTATGGGGAGACGTCTAAAAGCCGTCCGACTATCACTCTGAAAAGCTGCCTAGTGAGTTGGCTCTTGCTGCGATGTTTCACTTTGTTTCGGCTACCTTCAAGTGTTCATGACGTGGCGTACTGGATTCCAAAAGTTCCTCATTTCAAGGCCAATAGTGCCACACGACTAAGCGATGCATTGACTCTACCTGCTAGCATATCGTCCAGTGGTGCCTTCTACCACTACCTACACCAGGAAAGGAGAATGACATGGACTAGGACGGACAAAGAATCAGTGTCGCTTGTTTGCGATGTGCAGTCTGCTGGACCTACGTGCAAGGGACCAATGGAGCTCGACCTCTGGCACAACACTATGAGCCACATGAAAGGATTAGTTCATGCTGGCGTAGGTGATTGGAGAGAGTATGACGGATTGTCTTGGTAAGATGCGATGTGCGTGCGAACGTGTGTGTGTGCGTGAGGGAGGGGGGGGGGGGAGCTACCGTGCGTTCCTAAACTTTCCTGTGTATAATCCACACTGGGGTATAAGCCACAACCAGATTTTTTGCCACGAAATAAAGACATCTACTCTGTTCATCACCGACAATTTTACAATCGTAGTATAAGCCAAGGGAAATAACTCAGACCAGAACACACATCATTGCACAGTGCGGCAAACTTACATCCAACCAGATACTGCTGCAGGAGTTCCTTTGCAATTGACGAGACCTTGGGGGCCTGCTTGTAGAGAATGGACAGAAACTCCTTCTGCTGTGTGACCGTCTTGGACTCGAGAGAGTCGATCAAGGTTAACGCACACTCGGTCGGATTTCGCTTGTCCTCGATGGTCTCCCGCTCGTCACGGGAGATGATGCGCTTGCCCTCGAGAATGCGAAGGATGGAGGCGGTCTCCAGACACTGACTCAGTTCGTAGGCCTTGGGTCGGATTACCTGCAACCAGTACAATGGACAAAATACGCAAGCGGGGAAAATTGTGTTGGTAATGCGCAAGTCACGCATGCGCTACAAGAACGTCAAGCGCCGAAGAACAGGCAAACCAAGAGCATTATAATGATAAGGACAGCTCGTGTATCACTCAGAATCAAGCTCTACGCATCTGTGAGTAAAACAGTGCAATTCCTACTGTAAGACCAGATATTTTAAAGTCAAATAACGTTAACGATTTCCGGATTTTTGTGAGTTCGCGAGGTGGAATTCTAACGAATTCTGTGTCAAAACGGGCAAATGACTGTACATGTACAAACAAGGCCGGTCTAGGAAGCTGCTCGAGGTAGAGTGCTCAATGCACGAATGTACAAAGCAGTATACACACACAACAGAGGCAAAACATGTACATATTGTTTTGTACATAACGACTTATTTATTTATTTATTTATTTATTACAGCATCTCATAGCACAGTGAGAACACCGGCCAATACAAAGAGAGAGGGTGTTAGCCAACCACGGCAAGGCAGGCTTCAAATGTTAACGAATTGTTTAAATTCGCTAAAATAATCGTTAGAATTAAATGTTCGTTAACATTACTGGGGGTCTTACAGTATCTGTTTTGGAAAAATTTTAACGACGCGGAGGAAGTAGTTCTTTTGCTCCTGATCACGATGGTGTGATCCGTTTTTCTCTGCGATGGCTGGAAGTGGGTGAAAAGTGGGTGAAAACTTGAAAAGAAGGTGCCCAAAATTGTCCCGAAGTACCGAGTGACGTCACGCCGGACTTGACCTCCACGCGTACATTCGTCGTCCAAAACGAAGTTCAGCCCGTGTGCTGGTCGATCGAGCTAGCTGTTCCAATGTACGGTGCATGTGTGCCTTTTGAACTGTAACACAGATGGGTACGTCGTACCGAAGGAGAATGCCAAAGAGGCAGAGACCCACGTGCAGCTATACAGCCAAATCAAAGTAAAAAGGAGCTGAGCTTTCACCTTTTTGACTTCTTCCGCGAGGATCTAAGTTTTATTTTGTGAGCACGGAAGTACGTCGTTGTTTTGAACTTTTCGTGTGAGGAACAAGACGATGATGAGTGCGTATGCAGAAAACAGTGCTCCTCCGGCCGGCGATAACACCACCAACCCGAGCCCCAAAGGAACGCAATGTAGGTACGTGAAGGCGATTCATCTGGCGATGTTGCTGAAGATGCAGATGACAAACTCCGACGTCTTTCATTTCAGAGCCGGGTGGGCAACACCGCCACTTTCCATACAATGACATAATTTTCAAGTACAAGGTATGTGTGTCACACTAACAGCAAACAAACATCCTTCCACTCCCTCGTAATCACAAATAAAACAAAGAGCTGGAGCTTCGCGGAGGAAGTACCAGTGCGACAAACTACTGTCGACTTTTGTTTATTTTGTCCCTTTTGGCGTTCTCATTGTGTACAACGTACATATCAGTGTCCGAGTTCAGAAGGCACGCGTGCACCGTACATCGAACAGTTGGCTCGATCGACCAGCACACGGGCTGGACTTCGTTTTTGACGATGAATGTACGCGTGGAGGTCAAGTCCGGCGTGACGTCACTCGGTACTTCGGGACAATTTTGGGGACCTTCTTTTCAAGTTTTCACCCACTTCCAGTCATCGCAGAGAAAAACGAATAACACCATCGTGATCAGGAGCCAAAGAACTACAAGATAAGACAAAGAAAAATTTTGGTGACAGTTCCCCTTTAACATTACTGGGGGTCTTACAGTATCTGTTTTTGGCAAAAAGAAAGGCTTCAGGAACAGTGGTGTTGGGTCTCTTCAGATCTATAAGTAGTATTTACCGTATTTTCCCGATTATATGTCGCACTCAATTATAAGTCGCACCCCCATTTTCAGGTTTTAGCCATATCGATTTGATATATTGACTTCAGTAGTAAGTGACGGTTAAAATCATGCTCGATTGTAAGTCGCACCCCTCTTTTAGGGCCTGGTCAGACTGCGGCAACTTTTGGTTGCCTGACGAAAAAAGAACAGCGTCCAGAATTTGAATCGCGATCACACTACACATGTGGGGAGAATGAAAATTCAAACTTCATTTCGAGTGTCAAGTGGTAATCTCCACGAACGACGTCAAATTCCTTCACCTTGGGATCGCCAACACCTTCAGTGCAATCCTTGCAACCATCCTTATGAGTTTTGTTGTTGTCCGTGGCCAATTAGCTCCTCGATATCGAGTTGAAAAAATCAGTGATTATCAGCGTCAATGGCGTATCAGCGTCAAATCCTGTTTGGAGCGGAAAAGCGTGGCCCGTTCTTGCTTTTTTTTTGGAGCGTCAACTCTCGCTTTTGCCGCTCTGGCGGCAAGTTACTATGGAGATTCGGATTATAATCCTAGGATTATTTCGATTTTGCCGCAGTCTGACCAGGCCCTTACCCTTGAATTTTAGTGTACAAAGGTGCGACTTAAATTGGGGAAATACGGTATAATTATAATGTCAGTCCTTCTGGTTGGTGGACGTCCGCGTGGCTTTCTCGTATCTTCAGTGTGAAAGGTCGTTTCCATGGGAACATGCAGGCGAGAAAGTCACCAAAATTTCATATCCTATCAGGCTAGAAATATAGATTAAAGAACCCCGTCATGATTTTCCTCCAACACTGCACGTACGAGTGTACAGTGTACCTGCCAAACTCATATCTCCCTTATCTGGACCTCGAAGTCACGCACACCTCGGTCTGCCGGGTAACCTGTGGGCGAGTGTTAGTGGAAATTTCACTACCCTTTTGCCATGTTTGCCACGGATTTCGGCCTTTGACCTCTGGTTGGTGGATCTGATCTATCCTCCCCCACCGTTTAGAAGCCACATCTGACGCCTGATCATGGGGTAATGGTGTCCCACGGAAGCGGAAAAGGCGGTTCTTGACCAGCCCTGCACGCAAACTCGTGCGATATTTTTTACCACATTTGTTGCCAATTCTGTAGAAATAGTGACGTAATATGCCAGATCTCTGGCCCTTTCCCCCTTTGTAAAGGATATGAGTCAGAGTGCTGCGTACATTTCCAAGTTACGGACAGTGGCCGTACAAGAGAGATACGAGCGTACGTGACTGTACGATGACAGAGTGTAGGAATACGCTGGAATTTTGAATGCAAGCCCACCACTAACCTGAAGTGCCCCCACCCCCCCCCCCCCCCCCGCATCTGTTGCATGGCTGTCACGGGTTCCGATTTTTCAGAGTCACTCTGAATTTTACACGTCTTTCCGACTTAACCGACCGAAAACCATCTTTACTTTCTCACTAGGATTGTTCATGAAAGTGCCCTGATGTGTCGTTTTAGCCTCTTAGAATCCTAAAAATGCTTCGGCTTATAAAGGAAGCGCTGCCTCCCTATCCTTCGGCCCCTATCCGGGGGACAACCACGGGCCCCTTTCAGATTTCTTTCAGCAGAAAAAAGGTGGCAGCCCAGCTGCTGTACAATCTGCCACGGCGTAAAATCTGGAGATC